CCCCCCGAACAGCAAATGTAGAATCAGTTTTACCGTTACCTCTTACTATAAATGGAAAAAGGGCAATAAAAGGTGCTAAGCTTATAAGTATCTGGAGAGTAATACCATCTCGCTCGCTGCCTGATTCCAGCCTCTGCGTGCATTAACATAAGTGGTGGAATCACTCAGCCGGACCTCAGACTTCCTCCATTAAACCCTCCCATCCCCAGAAGTAACAACGCACACAAGGCTGCTTTTCTAAACCAAAGCGTCGGATGGGGAAACACTTAACTGTTGCTAGAACTCGCAGCACAGAACTTTGAAAAAAAAAAAAGAAAGTTTTTGAAGCGAACACCTCATAATATGTCTTACTTTTGAAGATGTGATACACCGATGACCTGGACGGCCTCTCTCCATTTGTCAGTTTTCTCTCCCACTGTTTTTGTGTGTGCTCTCGGGTCAGTCTGTGTGTTTAGTCTAAGTTGAGAGTCATTGGGTAATTTATTCCAGAGGAGGGCAAAGGCTCAGCATGGTGATGAATTAATCCACTGTGCTTTTTCTGCTGGCTGAGAGGAGGGAGACTGATATTGGCTCTTTTTCGTCCTCTCTCTCTATTTCACTTTCTTTCATTTCGCTATCAAACTTTCTGGAGCTCTCACCCCCCCCCCCCCATCTGTTGCTCCTGCTCTATGAAACCTTTTGCTCTTAGATATTACCCTCTAGTTGTCCAAAGTTAATACATTTATCGCCAGCTAACTGACAGCTGTTTTTCATCGTCACAATCACATATATGATGTAATGCACAATAGGAGCAGTCTCTCTCTGTGCGCTCATAGAAATGCTAACGTTCAGTTGACTTCAATGGCCCCGCTGTTGTCTTTGTCTACACAGCTGCTGATTGGATCAAGTGATGGATTATGCTTATCTATGTCTATCAAGGATGTCATGTGTATATGTACAATGGTCTTTTATAGCTCAGAGCATGGCACAAACCCCTGGTACACTGCCAGAGTTAGCAGTTTGATTCCCACTTGGGCTACATTTTGGGGCCTTAAGGCCCTTTGGAAAAAAAAACATCCACCTAAACGGTGCATGTAGGTTAAAAGAATAGTTTGACATTTTTGCTTGTATGCTTATCCTTCTTGCTGAGAGTTAGATGAGAAGATCAATGCCACTCTCTGTACACTAATTGTGTCGCTGGAGAAGCAGCCAGTTAGCTTAGCTTAGCATAAAGACTGGAAACAGGGGTAAACAGCTAGCCTGTCTCTGTCCACAGGTAACAAAATCCAGCAACCAGCACCTCAGCTCATTAAATAGCACATTATTCCTTGCTGTTCTACGAAGTGATATTTGCCCGACTATTTCTTGGCCGGGACAAAATGTTACCAGCCAAAATGTAGTCCCTGCAAAAATGGTGAATTGACATTTTTGTACTATATTTTTTGTACGGATTAAGCCAACAAGACATAACATGTTATTTGTTGAGCTTTAGAGGCACTGATAGGCTGACTTTTGTTACCCTTTGGACAGAGTCAGGCTTGCTGTCCAGTCTTATGCGAAGCTAAGCTAACGGGCTCCTGGCAGTATATGCAATGGACAGACATGACAGTGGTATCTATCTTCTAATTGACTCTTGACAAGACGGGGAATACGCATGTTTCCTAAAACTTAGAACTGTTCTTTTTTGACGACAGAGTGATGGCAGTCCAAAAAGAATCTAATGTATGATTTAGGATTTTTCTTTTTCTAGGCTAATTCTAGGGTTTGTCCCACTTCTAAATTCCCTTACATCAAAGGAAACATCACAAAAATCATGAATACAGCCTTTAAATAGGACTTTTGCCATTCATTATGTTTTATTTAAACAAATTATCAGCTGCAGTGTGACCCTGTGTTTCCCTTCCTGTCTGAAGTGTCTGCAGAGGCAGCAAAAGGGGATTTTTTTTTTTTTGTTGCCATGTCATTTATCTCGACTGGGCCATGAGCAGAAGGAGTTGAGAGGAAGCGAGTCGGGGGCCCATGGAGCATCCCCCAGTCCACTGATTAATGTATTGGCAGCTCTAGAGCTTATCACCCTACAAGATGTTTGCATACAGCAGGAGATGTCCAAGAGTTCAGGGTGAAACATGACGTTAGTGCAGTATTTGTTGATTTATTTTCCTAGAACCCATCTAGTATTAAGCAGCTCCAGCACTTGATGTAATGACACCAAAGTCTCCCACTG